TTTCTGAGAAGGATGTTTTTTCAGGGAACTCAGCGATCGTTTTTTTTTCTTCCGTCTCTTTTTACATTAATGTATCTCTGTCCTTTTTTCACCATCATGCGATCGCGCCCGCGAGTCTTTTGTTTAGCGGATTTTCACGATATTCGTCGTCGACGTAGTCATTCGTTGTGTGACCGTTAAGTAATCATCAGTGTGACAATGGTGCGTTTCACTCCTGCGGAATACGCGGATTTGGTGGCCGTATATGGTTTAGCGGGTGGAAATGGTGCGGTAGATGTCCGAATTTATGCGGAGCAGTTTCCCAACCGAGTGGTGCCCGATCCGTGAAGTTTTCGCAATGCCTTTCAACGGCTGAGAGAGGGTAATGTCCTCCCAAGGCACGGCGAAGGGCGTCCAAGACGTGCGGATGGCGCACATCTGGAAGAGGCGATTCTCCAGAGAGTCGAGGAGTTTCCGGAAGTGTCCGTCCGGGGCATCGCGTCATCTGTCGGCGCTTCCTCTTCGACGGTGCACCGGGTGATGAGGCTCGAGGGTTTACATCCCTGGAAATTTACCCCGGTGCAGGAGCTTGCGCCAGGAGATCTGCCGAAGCGGGTGAACTTCTGCCAATGGCTCCTTGAGAAAAGTCGCGATCCAGAATTCATGGGCAACGTATGCTGGACAGACGAGAAGCTTTTCGTAAGAAAGGGGATTATCAACCAGCACAATGAGCATCATTGGGCTTTTGAAAATCCCCGTCTTGCGAAAGAAACGAATTTCCAGTTTCGTTGGGACACCATGAATATCTGGGGAGGAATCATTGGTGACGAAGTTCACATTCACCACCTTCCAGGACGTCTCGACGTAAGTATTCTTCATTCAGTCACCATAAGGTTTTTTTTTATTATAACTAAATTTTATTTATTTATGTTTCAGGGCGGCAATTATCTGGGATTTCTCCGAGATCGCCTGATAACTGTCGTCGGGGACGGTCCTGCCGACAATGCTGTGTGGTTCCAGCACGACGGAGCTCCAGCCCATACGTCTGTGGCCGTGGTCGACCAATTGGACGAGTGGTTCCCAGATCGCTGGATCGGGAACAGGAGCGACCGGGACAGGGGTGGACGTCGGCAACCACCAGTTGCGTGGCCTCCGCGTTCTCCAGATCTCTCTCCGCTGGATTTTTACTTGTCGGGGACTCTGGAGGCCCGGATATACGCGCACCATCCAGGGACTCAAGAGGAGGTGATAGCTCTGCTGCACGCTGCAGTTGCAGCCATCACCCCTGAAGAGCTGGAAGACATGAGGAGGAATCTCCTCAAGAGGGCCAGGCTCTGCCTTCATGCAGGTGGAGGACATATTGAAAACCTGCTATAGCAAATGCCTGCCTCTGTCACACCTTCTCCGGATGGACGGACTTCAATCGGCCATTTTCAGGGCCACCGATTCATTTTTAACGTGGATTCTTCTCCCTTTCCCCTGCCCTACAGTCGTTCGGAATTTTCTCCTAAAATTACACCCTCTTCATGAATTATCTACTAAACAATGGGCTTTGGGAGATTTTTCCATTGATTATTTTTTGTTGCAAATCGAATTTGCAACAAAAAACATCTGTTTGGTGAGGTACTGTTGAGTAGGGTGGATCGGGAGAAGGTCAGGAAAATGTGGTGATTGTGTAAAAATGTTATAACTCGCGAAATTCTCACACACAACGATTATTAATTTATTGAAACGCGTGGTCAATTTAATGCGGTATTTTACAATAATTTAGACGTTGATGGTTTGTTGATGTACAAGTTAAGTTGAACTAATAGTTGAGTTAATAGTTGATTTACTCGGTGAGTTTCGGTGATTTACGGAGAGATTTGATTAGATGTTGACACGTTCACTGATTGATTCGAACAGAGAGTGTTGAGGGGGGTGATGGTGCTTTTGATGGTTTGGAGATGACCGTTGACCGATGGGTCACGATCATTTCCGGGTTTTCCCGATTGGTGATTTTGGTGAAAAGCCGCCCATAATTATCTCCATTTTAAACAACATCTTATGGAAAAATGCCGTACGACCCATCGTTTTTTTATAACATTTAAAAAGGATGAAACTGTTTGTTGCTGATATAAAATAAACAATTGGGTATAGATGATTTTTCCATGAGATTGATTTGTTGCAAATTCAATTTGCAACAAATAATAATCAATGGAAAAATCCCAAAAACCCAATTGTTTAAAAGTGTGACGTGACATTTCCCTAAGCGACCGGAAATGCCCATCACCTTCGCCCTTCCTCCCTCTGACCTCCTCGCCGATACTAAACTTAACCAAAATCGGGACCTAAAAAAGGTTGCCGGGCGCCAGCTAATTTTCCGGATCGAGAAATCAGCAACTCGAAGACCTAAACCTAAATTAAAATCGCAACACGTATCACTAACCCGTACTTATATCTAATTCAGCAAGGGGGTTGAGGGAGAGGTAACGGATGCCTGCGCTGCTCAGTATGCT